CAGTCCGAAGACCGACGCTCTACCACTGAGCCAAACCGGTTTCGGCAGAACCGTTTTTATTTCTTTAAGGTCAATAGTAATATCCTCACTTTCATTTCTAATTTTAGTTATATGTGTTTTTTCCCTTTGCCAGTCTAGCTAAAAGTTTGTCAATTTTGTTGATCTTTTCAAAGAAACTTATGGTTTTGCTGATTCTCCATATTGTTTACTATTCTGTATTTTGTTTATCTCCACTTAATCTTTATTATTTCTTTCTTTGTTAGTGTTAGATCTAATATGTTCCTCTTTTCTAGTTTCCTTAAGGTGAAAAGTTAGGTTATATGTTTTAGAGCTTTCTTCTTCTTTTATGTCAGCAATTTTCAACCCATGTGCCATGGCTCACTGGTGTGCCACAAGAATTTTTAAAACATGTAATACCTGACTCCTTATTCAGGGGCACTGACCTCTTTTCCCTTAGATTAACAAATAAAAAAATGGCAACAGCCAACACAACAATAGCCACCTGGTGAGAACTCCCTGTCTTAAGCCATAAATATATAGTTCAGATGATATACTTGCCTCTTATTGGTCACGTTGCATAAGACTGCATCTGATTGGTTAATTTTTGGCACCAGAAATCCTATGTACAAGTATAGGCACCTGATTTTTTTTAGTCACTTTGTTTTTGTTGTTGTTATTGTTTCATTTGGTCATTTTATAATTGTAATCAATGAGTTTGCTGGTGGATTTAGTTTTGTGAATTTGATATCTTTCTTAATATATTTTTATTGATTTCCAGAGAAGAAGGGAGATATAGAAACATCAATGATGAGAGAAAATCAATGATTGGCTTCCCTCTTGCACAACCCCCACTAGGGATCAAGCCGTAATCCAGGCATGTGCCCTGACTAGGAATCGAACCATGACCTCCTGGTTCATAGGTCAACACTCAACCTCTGAGCAACACCAGCCAGGCTTAAAAAATCACTTTGGAACAAAAAGTGTAGGTAATTACTATTATTTTTTATTTTTGTATATCAATCAAAATCATACCCTTTTTTGGTCAGATCAACAAAAAAATGTATTTTTTTGGTGTGCCACCAAATTTTAGGAATTAAGTTTATGTGTGCCATGAGATGAAAAAGGTTAAGAACCGCTGCTTTATGCCTTTACTGCTATAAATTTCCCGTTGCTTTCGCTGCATCTCACAAGTTATGGTATACAGTGTTTTCATTTTCATTCTTCTCTAATTATTCTCTAATTTAACCTGTGATTTCTTCTTTGATCTGTTGGCTATTTAAGAGTGGTTGCCCTAGTCAGTTTTCTCAGTGGTGGGAGCGTCAGCCTGAAGCCTGAAGGTTTGATTCCAGTCAATGGCACGTACCATGGCTGCAGGCTGCTTGCTGCTCAGAGTTGGCATGTGCGGGAGGCCAACCAAGCAATGTGTGTCTCTGTCTCTCCTGAGCCCTCCCTCTCTCTCTAAAAATCAATGGGGAAATGTCCTCATTAACAACAACAAAATGTGTTGAAACTTGTTTGTGGCTCCACCAATGGTCTATTCCTGGAGAGTCTTCTGCTCACCTGAGAATGTGTATTCTGCTTTGCCGGGTGTTTTGTACATGTTCGCTAGGTCTAATTGGTTTACATTTCATTCAAGTCCTGTTTTCTTACTAATCTTCTGCCTAGATGTTCTGTCCCTTATTACAGAGGAGGCAAGCACTTTAGTTTTTGATTGGATGAAAAAAGCGTGAATTTGCCAAAACCGGTTTGGCTCAATGGATAGAGCGTTGGCCTGCGGACTGAAGGGTCCGTCAGGGGCATGTACCTTGGTTGCGGGCGCATCCACAGTGGGGGGTGTGCAAGAGGCAGCTGATCGATGTCTCTCTCTCATCGATGTCTCTAACTCTATCTCTCCCTCTTCCTCTCTGTAAAAAATCAATTAAATATATTAAAAAAAAAAAAAAAAAAAAAAAAAAAAAACTCTCCCCAGCATTCCATGAGCTCTGGGAAATGTTTTTCTTACTGTTTTCCAGCAGTGCTTTCCCTGGCTTTGTATAGGTCCTGTCACCACCTACGGACCAAAACTCAGCCAAAGACTGAGGGAAGCCCTCTGCAGGTCTCCAGAATGCGTGCACGCTTGCATGTAACTCCTCTACGGCAGTGCACACTCCATCCGCCTGGCCCACACCTCCCTTCTTGGTCCTCGGCCCTGCGGCTCCTGGTCTTCCCGAACTCTCCCCTGTGCGCCTATCTCTGCAGGCCTGGCTCTCCGTAAACCGTGCAGAAGAGCCGCTCCCATGTGCTCCCATTCTCAGGGACCGCAGGCCGCAGCCACCCATCAGTCAGTGTCTGAAAGCCACTGTTTACATGCTGATGTGTGCCTCTGTGAAGGAAGGGCGCGTGTGACTGCTGCCCAACACGCCTCCTCTGCCAGTTTACGAGGCCACACAATCAAGGAGAAGCCCAGCTGGGCGGTTCTGGCTCAGGATCCCAGGGGTCAGTGGGCCAGTGGGCCAGGGGGCCAGGGGTCAGTGGGCCAGTGGGCCAGGGGGCCAGGGGTCAGTGGGCCAGTGGGCCAGGGGGCCAGGGGTCAGTGGGCCAGGGGGCCAGGGCTGGGAGCCTGACAGGGCGGGAGATCTGCTTCCCAGAAGGCCCGGCCACACCCTGAGGCCACGGGCCTCACTCAGCTCCGTGTGGGCAGGAGGGCTCTTCCCAGCGCGGCAGTTAATGCTCTTGGAGAAGGTGACTGTTTGTCAGCCCCCCGACTACAGCCTGCATCCCGGGGCTCCCACAGAGAGGGGCGGGCTGTAGATCTGACTCCACAGCCGGACATGGGGAGAAAAATGACTCAGGGGAAGTAGCAATAGGTTGTGAGAGCAAACAGAGAGCTCCTGTGCCTGTGGCAGGGAAGGGGAGGAGAGCAAAGGCCAAGCTCCATCCCCCCAAACGGACCAATCAGAACAGCCACCTTTCTCCCCAGTCCCCAGACACAGCGGCAACTGAGAAACATCCATCAGAACCTCAAACCTCAGGGAAAGAGGGGTTCGGTGGGAGAAAGGGAAAGAGATCAACCAACGGACTCTGTACATGCCATGAGCCTAATCAATGGACACAGACCACAGGGGTGGGGCACACACTGGGGATGGGAGGGTAATGGGGGAATAAGTGAACATATAAAAAATAATAATCATAAAAAAAATTAGAAATTTTAAAAATGAATTGTGAGATAACCAGAAAGAAAAAAAAAGACACAGCGACATGCGCACAGGGACACACACACTGTGACACACACACTAATACCAAGCGCAGCAGCAACAGTCCCTGACCAGCACGAAGCATCTGCCTTTGTCACCTCCCTTACCCCTCACCACAAACCTGAGAGAGGAACCATGAGCCCTAAGCCCCAGGCCTGTTTCTGGGGCCCTGAAGGGCCTCCACGCTTTACAGTGTACCTGGGTGCGGCTTCATTCTCCCAGTGCGACCCCGCTCCCTCCCGCCCTGCGGGGGGCACCGACATTCTGCTCTGTCCTGCGTCCTCCCACTCCGCTTGGTCAGGCCTGAGCGCTTCCTCTTAGAGAGTCTATGGTCCCAGCACCTACCACCAAACCTCTTTAAAAGAAGCCATTAAAGCCGAAACCGGTTTGGCTCAGTGGATAGAGCATTGGCCTGAGGACTAAAAGGTCCCGGGTTCGATTCCAGACAAGGGCATGTACCTTGGTTGCGGGCACATCCCCAGTAGGGGGTGTGCAAGAGGCAGCTGATCGATGATTCTCTCTCATTGATGTTTCTAACTCTCAATCCCTCTCCCTTCCTCTCTGTAAAAAAATCAATAAAATATTTTTTTTTAAAGAAACCATTAAAAAAAATGTAGACCTCTTTTCCTTATTTTAACTTTTAGCATTTACTTTTTTTAATCGGACCTCTTTGAATCCCTGCTCAGGGCTTTCCTGCTGCCACAGCTGCCTAATATAGACTCCCCGGCCCTTCAGACAGCCGCCTGTCCAGTGTGCCTCACCAGCTAATCCCCAAAAATGCGGCCCACGTCAGCCACCCATTTTAACATATTATTTCACAGCACATGTGCCTGCTTCACTTATATGTGCTACAGCTTCCCGCCAAGATGGGTTTCCTCTCCCCCAGAAACTTATAATTAACTATGAGGGAGAAAGGTAAAAGCTATACCAAGCTCCTACATAGGTTTTCATTAGTTAATTATTAAATAATGAATTAAGGAATATATAAGGCAATGATTATAAATACTAGCTCACAAAATTATCAAGGGGGTATAATCAAAAGAATTTTATTTACAAAGAAAAAGAAAAAGACAAGCCGAAACCAGTTTGGCTCAGTGGATAGAGCGTCGGCCTGCGGACTGAAAGGTCCAGAGTTTGATTCTGGTCAAGGACATGTACCCTGGGTTGCAGGCACACCCCCTAATGGGGGTGTGCAAGAGGCAGCTGATCCATGTTTCTCTCTCATTGATGTTTCTAGCTCTCTATCCCTCTCTCTCCCTCTCTGTAAAAAATCAATAAAATATATTTAAAGAAAGAAAAAGACAGCAGTGGACACATATAAGCAATTCACAAAAGACAAAACCAAAAGAACCAATATATGAAAATCATAGGAATTCTAATTACAGGAACACTTTTTGTCAGACAAACTGGCCAACATTGAAAATACGTCAAGGATGTAAGGAAACAGGCATTCTAATAAACTTTTTAATAAATGAGATTTTTGTATTTTTAGTATTTATACATTAAATATCTTTAAAATCTACATACCCCTTTGACTAGTATTTCTATTTCTAATACTTAATTACAAGAAAATAAGGGACCGAGGAATATAGATTTTTTTTTAAAAACCTCGCTATGGCACTAATTAGAATATACAATCTGTCCAACAATAAGGGTTTGACTAAATAAATTTTAGTACCTCCAAACCAAGATTATGAACTCACTTCAAAATATTAGGTGCTGCATACACATATTTTTAAAGCAACATATATTCACACAAAAACATACCTGCGTAGAAAAATATCTAGAAGCATACACCCCAAAATATTAGCAGTGATAATCTCTGTAAAAGAATAGTGGAATTATTTGTGATTTTTTTTTCTCTTTGCTTATTTGTACCACTTAACTTTTCTACATGAGATGCACATGGATAACAACACACACTCCACACAAAATTCAAACTGAGAAGCACAAATTTTAAGGAAAAGTATCATTATTCTAACAGAACACGATCATTCCCAAATGCCTAATAAGAATGTCAGGCAGGGTTAATACAAAAAAAGTTAAATAACTTAGTATTCAATAGCCTAGATTCTAATTAGTACCAGAAACACACTCAAAAAAATTTGTTAGTACTGTTCAGGCATTTTAAGACAACAAAAGGACCTCCCAAATAAAAACTGAGTCCTAATCCTAAAATATTATATATATATATATATATATATATATATATATATATGTACACACATATATATATATATGTGTGTGTGTGTATGTATGTGTATATATATATACACACTATTGATTTTTTTACAGAGAGGAAGGGAAAGGAATAGAGAGCCAGAAACATCAATGGGAGAGAAATATCAATCAGCTGCCTCCTGCACACCCCCCAATTGGGATGTGCCCGCAACCAAGGTACATGCCCTTGACCGGAATCGAACCTGGGACCCCTCAATCCACAGGCCGACGCTCTATCCACTGAGCCAAACCGGTCAGGGCAATAAAATATACTTTTGTACAAAAAGCTCCACTGCTCCACTGGAAGGTCTGCCTCCATCGCCTTTTGTCACATTTATCTCCAGAACTCTCCTCGGCAGGGAGCGCAGTCACCGTGGAAATGAGCAAACATAAGATCACTCCGAGTCGAGGAATTCGGTGTGGCTTTAGGTCTGGCTCAAGAGAGAGCCTTCTCTACGTCTGCCACCCAAACCAGGGTGACCCTTCCCTTCAGGCTCCAACATTTTGGGGGACAACGCTCAGTCGATAACCAGAGAGGCTCCTAAAGTCTATCACAAGCAAAGCGCCCACGCCCGCAGGCACGGGGGCCCCGCTGTAGCCATGCAGACGGTCGCCTAGAACCGCTCCACACGCCTGACTCAGCGTGACCACAGCACGGACAGTCAGGAAAGCCCGAGTGGGACTCACCTACGAACTACACTTTGCAGCGATGTTGACGGGCACAACAGGACCAATCCCATCTGTGTGCAGTAGAACATAAAACAAATTATTCTAACCGGACCCCTATCATGCACGGCAGGTGACCATGCGGTCGGTCAGAGGCCACGTCCCACAGACAGCAGGGCTGCCGGCCACGTCTCAAAAGCTCCATGAACGCCTCCAGCAGGGCACCGTGGCCCTACATGCGGTGCAGCTCTGAAAGGCTTCTAAACCGTTATCAGCGATGTCTGTGATGAAAGCAGCGTTTACTGCACGGGAAAATCTCCGAACGCCAGGAGGAAATCACACAGCAGCTCTGCAGAAGCGAGGGGTTTTACCTCAATGGCATTTGGGTAAAGCAAGTGTCAGCGGGCCCCAGAACAGACAATGCCATCACGTGGTGACCGGTAAAAGGACCACAGAGACCCTCGCTCTCATGACAACCCTTGCACCGTTCACCCCCTCATTCAGCAAATAGGTGAAAACTAAGCCCGACAGGAACTACGAGGACCTGAGATACAAGAGGGAAGCAAGCCAAGGTCACTGCCTCCAGGGAGCATTTGGCTAGCAGGATGTATAGTAAACAGACATTAAACAATTAATGACATCATTAAATGTCAAGGAAATGTCAGGATGCCATTCAATAGCAGGGCAGGCAGGGTGCCACGCGCGCCTTGAGCAAACGCTAGGCCTGTTGGACGGGCCGCGCGGGGGGACAGGGCGGGCGGGCAGAGGTTCTGGCAGGGTCCAACAGGCTCTGGCGGGGTCCCTGGGTGGGAATGGCCCTGCCCCTCAAAGGCCCTGAGCCAGCCTGGCAGAACGGAGAACAGGTAGACGGTTTCTTGGGCCCAGGCTAACCCTGAGCTGTATGAAGACATCCACGCTAAGAGACCAGGCTGGTGACCGCTATGTGACTCTGGTGCTCAGAGGACAGGTCTAGACCAGGAGTAAACGTGGGAGTCAACAGAGACGGCGGGTGGTGAACGAGAACTGGACGTGCCCTGGACAAGGGAAGCTGGTGGGGTGGAGGGTGGAAGGTGGGGAGAAAGACTTGCATTACTTCCTCACATCACATACAAAAAATTACTTCTTGCAATTGAATTTTGCCATCTAGCCCAGCCAGTGTGGTTCAGTGGTTGAGCATCGACCTACAAACCATGAGGTCACGGTTCGATTCCCAGTGAGGGCGCGTGCCCAGGGGGCTTTGATTCCCAGTGTGGGGCATGCAGGAGGCAGCCCATCAACGATTCTCATCATTGATGTTTCTCTCTCTCTTTCTCTCTCTCCCTCTCCCTTCTTCTCTGAAATCAATACAAATATTTTTAAAAGAAGACAAATGGTTGCCATCTAAACTTTCTTAATTTGCAAGTGTGGAATAAAAAATAAATAAATAAAATAAAATAAAACAAAGTGCTTTCTAATACTACCGTTCCGACACGATGCCCGATTTGTTCAGAAAGGATAAGATTAAGGGTATAGCCAAGACCGGTTTGGCTCAATGGACAGAGCGTCGGCTTGGGGACTGAAAGGTCCCGGGTTCGATTCCGGTCAAGGGCATGTACCTTGGTTGCGGGCATATCCCCAGTAGGGGGTGTGCAAGAGGCAGCTGATCGATGACTCTCTCTCATCGATTTTTCTAACTCTCTCTCTCTCTCTCTCCCTTCCTCTCTGTACAAAATCAATAAAATATATTAAAAAAAAAAAAAAAAGATTAAGGGTATAAAGTTCTCGGAGAAATGCCGACACCCAAGAAAGCTATTTCCCTCCAGTTAGTCTGAGGCACGCTACGCTGTCATTCCCTTAGCAGAGCACTCCCTCCTCGCCTCTTCCAGCGCCCTAGAAAGGAATCTTTTTTTTTAACACGCGGATACGACGACTCCTTCGCAAGATTTGTCACTAGAAGCGCCTGCAGTCCGCAGAACTGCCACCGACCGGAGACGGATCACAGGGTGAGCGTTCTGAACACACCAGCACGTCCTCACAAAGAGCAGCGGACCTGGCGAGCCCGCAGAGCCGAGCGCTCCTCAAAGCTCTCCCCCTCGGGATTAGGGCTGTAATCCTCCCACAGAACAGACAGCAGTGACTGCTCTGCGAAGCAGCGGCCAGGTTAGGGTTATAGGAAAGCCGGGGAAGTGCGTGCCCCGGGGGGGCAGCCCAAGCACCCAGGAGTATGACGGGCCTCGACTCATACTCACCTGGTTGATTTGAAGCATGTTAAAGCAACGTGGACCCAGCTGCGGGACCCCTCACGGCTCCAAAACCTGCAAAAGGGAAACGGAGAAATAAAGGTGAGCTTGGCAGGCGATTTCAGGGATGAGCCCTTGTCACACACACACCCCTGGTCAAAACCAGGAATACAATGGAGAGCTTTCTAGGATGGTGGCCTCTGGCGGCACATGGCTACCGAGCACTCGAAATGCGGCCAAGAGAACAAAGTTTTACTTTTCTTTAAGAGTCACTGAAATGTTGCCAAAACTGGTGTGGCTCAGTGGATAGAGCATCGGCCTGCGGACTGAAGGGTCCCGGGGTTTGATTCCGGTCAAGGGCATGTACCTTGGTTTCGGGCACATCCCCAATAGGGGATGTGCAAGAGGCAGCTGGTCGATGTTTCTCTCTCATCGATGTTTCTAGCTCTCTATCCCTTTCCCTTCCTCTCTGTAAAAAATCAATAAAATATATATTTTTTTTTAATTAAAAAAAAATAAGAGTCACTGAAATGTGCATAAGTGCATGTGGCTAGCGGCTACCATCCTGGACAGGGCCGATCTAGGCTGAACAAAGTGCGTCCCCCAACACACACACCCTGGTTCTAGAGTCCTAAGACAAGTCCAGCAAAAGTGAAACTTAAAATGACCTAAAAGTTTTTACTTATTTAATATGTACTCCCCCATCTCTAACGTATACTCAGACTAATGTTTAATATCCTCTCCCCTTGCTCCAATAAGGTGTTAAGAGGCCTTGTTCCCGTCCCCTGTAAGATAAATTTAAGCCTAAAGAGGCAACGCACAAGTCTTCTATTAGGCGGTACAGGGAGTGCTCAGTTACCTACCTGGAGACTTTTGTGTGTGGTTTTATTATCAGCATTAGAAAAACAGCATGCACATTAAAATTTCACATAAATGGACTGACAGAGGTCAAAGAGGAGGGAAGGGGGGGGGGGGGGGAACACACACACATCTGTAAGAGTGTCAACAATAAAAAAAATTTCTGCCCTAACTGGTTTGGCTCCGTGGATAGAGCATCAGCCTGCAGACTCAAGGATCCCAGGTTCGATTCTGGTCAAGGGCATGTACATTGGTTGTGGGCACATCCCCAGTAGGGAATATGCAGAAGGCAGCTGATCGCTATTTCTCTCTCATCGATGTTTCTAACTCTCTATCCCTCTCCCTTCCTCTGTAAAAAAAAATCAATAAACTATATATTTTTTAAATTTTTTCCTCATAAGATTTTCAAAAGGAAAATCACCGATCCTGACACAACCCAGTGTTACATTCCAATTAGTTTCCTTCTGGATCTGACCTCACCATGGCTGCATTTCTTTTCCTGTGGCAAATTTCTTATACACTTAACTTTAAAATACAGGTACCAAAGAAGGACAACGACACCAAACTTATAAACGAATAAATCATGGGATCTTGTAATGGTAAGTTTACATTGAAAAAAATTAATTATGGCTTGGCCAACGTTGCTCAGTGGTCGAGCATTGACCTATGAACCAGGAGGTCACTGTTTGATTCCCATTCAGGGCATATCCCTGGGTTGCAGGCTCGATCCCAGTGTGGGGCAAGCAGGAGGCAGCCAATCAATGATTCTCTCTCATCACTGATGTTTCTATTTCTCCCTTTCCTTTCCTCTCTGAAACCAAAAAATATATATATTTTTAAAAAGATAAATTATGTACACAGCCCCCCAAAAAAATTATCTAAAAAGCAGTAACAATTTGGATATACAACGAAGTTGTATAATTTAAACTGCTGTATAAATTATTATGCTGTAAAATTTTAATATTGAACTTTCCCTCAGAAGCAAAGGTTCTTGAGAAACATACATACACACAGATACATCATATATACACACACATATGTCTATTATAAATGTGTGTGTACGTCTGCCTATCATTTTTTTCGAAATGACACACTGGGGTCCATTCTAAATGACGGTGGAGGTTTTTAATATATTCCTTACAGTGGTGACCTCGGCATTTTATATCTTACAAGAGAATCATATGTTATAGAAACAGCCCAAGGTCTGAGCAGCAGTGAATGTGAGATTGAGTCTGAGCTCTTCATTGGTAAAGTACTAAGCACTTTGTGTATCTTTGGGTTCTTTTTCTTTCGTACCTTTTTTTTAATCTTTTTTTTAATATATTTTATTGATTTTTTACAAAGAGGGAGGATAGAGAGTTAGAAACATGGATGAGAAACATTGATCGGCTGCCTCCTGCACACCTCCCACTGGGGATGTGCCCACAACCAAGGTACATGCCCTTGACCAGAATCGAACCTGGGACCCCTCAATCCACAGGCCGATGCTCTATCCACTGAGCCAAACCGGTTTTGGCTTTTTTTTTAATTTTTACAAAACAAACTAAAGTCCTTATAGGTGGCAGCCTCTAACAACTGGACAACAGCAGCTAAAACGCCGTGTAGGTGTCACCTGCCCTGTGTCTCTCACCTGTCTGCTCAGAAGGGAGCCAGCTCCCAGTGCCTGTTGCCCTGTGGAGAGGCCCACCTGTCAAAGGTCTGAGGGAGGCCACCAGCCCAAAAGAAACTGAGGCCTTCCACCCAGGACCTCCTGGGAACTGAATCCTGCCAAGAGCTGCAGGAACCAGCCTAGAAGCAAATCTTCCCCCAGGCGAGCTTTCAGCTGAGACTACAGCCCCAATGACAGCTTATCTGTACCTCATAAGAGACCTGGGCCACAGGCAACCAGACAAGCTGCACCCAGATTCCTGAGGTAATAAATGTTTTAAGCCCTTCGTTTCTGGCATAGTTTGTTATGCAACAATAAATAAGACAGTTTGGTTCAACTATAAAATTCTATAACCGTATGGTGCGTCAGGTATTGACCAACATATTTAAGTAGGCCAAAAAAGAATTAATTCCCTGAGCAAACAAGTACCATTACAAAATTTAAAAATTGTAAATTATAAAATTTAAACATGTATATTTTATTCAAGATGAATTCGTTAGAATGTGTAACATTACTCAAATGATATTAAAATATACTAGCTATAACTAAAAATACAGACCCATCTGATTTTCTTTTTCTTTTTTAAGTTTCTCATTTTAACCATTTCTTAAAATATATTTTATTGATTTTTACAGAGAGGAAGGGATAGAGAGTTAAAAAACATCGATGAGAGAAAAACATCAATCAGCTGCCTCCTGCACACCTTCCACTAGGGATATGTCCGCAACCAATTGATAAAATATCAAGACAGTGCATTCCAACTATAGCTGCCCTTGACTGGAATCAAACCTGGGACTCCTCAGTCCACAGGCCGACACTCTATCCACTGAGCCAAACTGGTTAGGACTTCATTTTGTAATTGGGAACAATTCATTTGGAAGTTAAAATGTAAATGAACTACCAAAAGTATCCCAGTGATTTCAGTGCCTTACTTTCTAGAATGTAACATTATTTGTTAAGCACTTACCCAAGATGAGAAATCCCATTTTGATTTTATTTGATGTAAACCTCTATAGCTTACAAATGCTATCTTTAGAGCTGTATGTGATTCTTCAGTATTAGAATCTGGTATCACTGGCGGTTGATTCCGAGCAGTAGGCACAGTAAGATACAGGGGTAATTTTTTTTTTTTAATTTTCTAATATAAAAAGGTAGTTTTATAAAGAAAAAAATGAAAGCGTCACCTAGCTGGCTGGGCTCAGTGGACAGCGCACTGGCCCTCGGACTGAAGGGTTGCAGGCTCGATCCCGGGTCCTGGTTGGGGCAGGTGTGGGAGGTAGCCAATCAATGAGTTTCTGTGTTTCTTCTCTGTGTCTCCCCCCCTTCCTTCTACTCTCTCTAGAAATCAATGGGAAAATATCCTCAGATGAGAATTTTTTTAAAAAGTCCAGCTGGGTGGTTCAGCATCCACCCAGAAACAAGAGGTCAGTGGTTCGGATTCTCAGTCCGGGCACAAGTCCAGGTTGCAGGTTTGCGGGTGGGTCCCTGGTGTGGGGCGTGTGGGAGGCAGCCAATCAATGATGCTCCTCTCTCTCACTGATGTTCCTCTCTCTCTCTCTCTCTCTCTCCCTCCCCCTCTCTCTCTCTCTCTCTCTCTCTCTCTCTCTCTCTCTCTCTCTCTCTCTCTCTTCACTCTCTAAAAATAAATAAAAACAATTTTTTAAAAAGCACCTATTTGCTTAAAATGGACCTGGCAACTTTAAATATTCTGCAATCCTTTCTTCACAATAACAATAAGATCTGTACACATTAAAGCATGAAACTAATATCCATCACAGCACCTGAGAGGTAATATTCAGAACCTATTCTTTTTCACCAACAAATTCTATTAAATTTACACCAATATAAAAATTTGTGATTCACAACTACCCCATGGACAATTCAAAATGCCCACTGGGGCACATCTTTAACAGTTCACTTCTTCCTGAAAGACATGCCTGGACTAGTGTCCTATATTTAAAAGAATTTGATAAAATATCAAGACAGTGCATTCCAACTACAGCTAAAGAAACCGATCCCCATGCCTCAAAAATACCCTACGGGGTCCCCGGTCGGGCACATTACAGCAGGCGGTTTCCAGTTCCGATCCCGCCTACTAAATGCAAGGAGGCGGCTCCGGGGAGAGGGCCTGCTCATGCGGGAGACTCGCTGCCCATGAGGACGTCCAAGTCCCGCATGTCTCCGAAATTCACTGCTGATAAACCCACTGCTCTTGGCCGAGGACAGTTTGGCTCATCAGTGGATAGAGCATCGGCCTGCGGACTGAAAGGTCCCAGGTTCGATTCCGGTCAAGGGCATGTACCTTGGTTGCGGGCACATCCTCAGTAGGGGGTGTGCAAGAGGCAGCTGATCGAGATTCTCTCTCATCAGTGTTTCTAACTCTCTATCCCACTCCCTTCCTCTCTGTAAAAAAATCAATAAAATATATTTTTTTTAAAAAAACACTGCTTTTGATACCAATTACCTTTGGCTCATCTGGTAAACTGAAAGGCGGGCTTAAATCTATAAAATCCTCAACAGTTAAATACTGCTTTATGAAACAGCAATATTAATCTCCCTATACCTTTTTATATCATCATCCATTCCACAATCCTCCCTTAAATGCCTTTGTTGGACAACCTGAAAAGCAAAAGCATGTCCCATCTTTATTCGTAAGACTCCAAACTACTATAAATCTAAATATCAACTCCAAGCTCCTTAATCTAAAAAAGTCATGGGGTCCTTAACCAGTGTTTTAAAAACCTTTTTCACTTTCATTTCTCTTTAAAAGTAAGCACCCCCCCCCCCCCCCCAAAAAAGTAAGCATCCTCAAAAAACTGCTCTATATTTTTAAAAAATGACAAGTTGCCCTTGCTGGTTTGGCTCAATAGATAGAGCATCAGCCTGTGGACTGAAGAGTCCCAGGTTCAATCCCGGCCAAGGGCACAGGCCTGGGTTTCGGGCTCAGTCCCCAGTAAGGGGCGTGCAGGAGGCAGCCAATCAATGATTCTCATCATTGATGTTTCCATCTCTCTCCCTCTCCAATGAAATATATTTTTTAAATGACTAGTATGAATTTTAATGTATCCTAAGAATCTATGAAAGATTCTATGTATATAGATATCTCACTCCATGAACTTCTCCCATAAAAATAAATAAATAACACCACCAGCCAAGAAGAAAAGGAAACTAACGTTTATCAAACTCCAATTTTAAATGCTAGGGGCCATATTTTGTCATTTTTTTAAATATTTTTTTATTGATTTCAGAGAGAAAAGGAGAGGGAGCAAGAGATAGAAACATTAATGATGAGCCGAAGCCAGTTTAGCTCAATGGTAGAGCGTTGGTCTTCGGACTGAAAGGTCCCAGGTTCGATTCCGGTCAAGGGCACGTACCTTGGTTTCGGGTACATCCCCGGTAGGGGGTGTGCAAGAGGCAGCTGGTCGATGTTTCTCTCTCATTGACGTTTCTAGCTCTCTATCTCTCTCCCTTCCTCTCTGTAAAAAATCAATAAAATATATTTTTTTTTAAAAAGAAACATTAATGATGAGAAACAATGATAAAAAACATCAATTGATCGGCTGCCTCCTGCAGGCCCCCTACTGGGGATGTGTGGGCTCAAGCACAAAACCCTGGGCGTGTGCTCTGATCAGGTTCCCATGACCACCTGGTTCATAGTTCCACACTCGACCACTGAGCACACCAGCTGGGCCATTTTGCCATTTTTACATGAACTCAATCTTCATCACCTTGGATGTAGGTAATATCCCCATCTTTCCAGAGTTAGGTTTCTTTCCCATAGTCCAGTGTTTCCCAAATTTTTGACATATGTGTACCCCTTCTATAATTTTCGTAACGCTGAGTACCCCTCGTACTCATGAGAACGTAGAATTAGGCGCAGCTGAGCACGGTGCAGTGCATATCCAAACCGAACTACGGTGCAACGCGTACCCCCACCAAACTCTTCCCGTACCCCTGGGGGTACGCGTACCGCACTTTGAGAAACACTGCTATTCCATTGCTAGGATTAAAACCCAGTATGGCCGAAACCGGTTTGGCTCGGTGGATAGAGCATCAGCCTGAGGACTGAAGGGACCCAGGTTCGATTGCAGTCAAGGGCATGTACCTTGGTTACAGGCACATCCCCAATGGGAGGTGTGCAGGAGGCAGCTGATCGATGTTTCTCATTGATGTTTCTTATCCCTCTCCCTTCCTCTCTGTAAATATCAACAAATATATATATTTTTTAATAAAACCCAATATGGTCTGGTTCAAAGTCCTCTTCCCCTCATTATATAATACATTTAATTACAAACAAAGACCAAACTTAAAGTTTTTCCTGTCACAAAGGGCATGGGCTCTAGGACAACAGAATGTCAAGGCTCCTCTGTAGAATTTTGGTGATTTATTCAAAATAAAATAATTATACATATATAAAGTATAATTATTACGGATTCAAGACACTCATCTACTATTTTCTTTAGAACTAAGAAGAGGCAAAAATATACCTATGCGATTTGATCGTACTGTGCAACTCTCTATTCAGTCTAATATCAACCAATCCAATTTTACGATATCTAGATTTTTCCCTCTTTCTGACCTGTGCACATAAATAATCAGATACCCAGCACAAAAGGAAACAGAGTAACAGGAGTAAAGAGACTCACTACAAAACAGAACAAAACATACTGGCCAATTATTACATCTTCCAGCACCTGATCCTAAAACCAGAAAACCATTCAACCTCATTTTGTGTTGCTTACATACTAAAAAGTGTGACGATCATTTTAGATACTTTTGAAATCCTTATCTTTGCTGAAAGCCAGACCAAGCCACTCCTTCCTAGAATTCCATTCCTAGTAAGCTAAGTAAGCTAAAATATGCAAGTTGTATGGTTTTCCATGCTGTGTATTTAGGAATAAAGAGCCATGATGTATGACACTTATTACCCTCATGGTGCAGGAAAAAGATTGTGTGTGTGTGTGTGTGTGTGTGTGCACACACGCGCGCGCCGCAATATAGGGATAAATGGTAAAGCAGTAACAAGTGCATCTGAGTAAAGGTTACATAAGTGTTCTTTGTACTATGCTTGCTACTTTTCTGCAAGCTTGATATTATTTCCAAGAAAAAAGTTAAAACTTAAAAATTACATGGCATTCCATCTGAAGTTAACCATACATATTTAGATTATACAGCAACATTTTTACAAATACAAAGCAAGAGTTTTTAAGGAAAAACAATCATTTCTGAGAAAACGTGCACCATATCCTACCAACTAATGTTCTTTTAGGGATAAATTTCAAACGACACTGCCATGGAACAAAACGTGGCCATGGGGACTGGAGTTGAAACCCTAGCAGGGCAGGGAAAAAAAAAAATACACACCCCACAGTTTGGCCTAAGCGCTTCAAAAATGTAACTCAGGCCTGCTGTAAAATGCAGCAAATCTACAATTCCAGTGACATGTGATCTCTCTAGTTTGCAGAAAATACAGACACACTGAAAACTGAAAGACTTGTCGGATGACAAAACAATGGAGATGCGGAATGTTTTGGTTTTTGGTGGTTTTATTAAAGGTGCCTTACCCCCCCTCCCTCCCCCCCCCCCCCCCCCCCCCCCCCGCAGCTCAGTTAAAGTGTGTTTGAACCATCTTAAGAGCAAGGGCAGAGGAGAACTCTCCTCCAGGAGGAGAAATGTTGCAATCTTTTCCCCCACGAGGCTACTAGCATCCTGCCTGCCCATCACGATTTCGATTTCAAGTGTTTACCAGGGTTTCCTAAGACGTAGGGGGATGCACCAGAAGAGAAGTCAAATATTGTGCTTGGCAAAAGTGCACCAAAATCCTGAGAGCAAACATTCCAAAGGAAGGTTTTCCAGCTCACAGGGAAATACCTTTACAGGATCATCTTCTCCTTTCCGCAGGAACCACCCACTTTAAAACCCTCTCCTAATGGAATGGTCCTTCCCTACTCCAGCAGTTCTTAGCCTTTTTGGGGCGATGGGGACGTCGGGGGGCTTTCCAAACAGGATTAATCACAAATGCAAAACCCTGCACACATTTGCAGGGACTTCCAGCGCCCCAGGCCCCCCCCCCCCCCCGCCCCCTCGCTGAGAATCGCAGCTCCGCGGCTCGCCCACCCGCAGCCTCTGCAGAATCCCCCAGCCCAGCCCGGCCCCGAGCTCCCGGGCGGCGCGGCGGCGCTGCCCACACGCGGAGGACTCGGTAACTGATCTTTGTCTCTTCGCCCAACTCCCTTCGCCCGGCAAGGTCACTCGCTGCCAAGTAACTGCCCCTTCAGGCCGGGCCCGCATCGCGGCGGGCGCAACTTGCCCGTCACGGGGTCTGTTCTGCGCCCTCGGCCCCACCTCCCTCCCCGCTCCGGCGGGTGACGTCTGCCCCGCCGCCGGCCCATTTCACAGACCCGGCTCCCCGCCCGGGCGCCCCGGGCCGCCACCCCCGGCGCCCGGCGCCCCCCGCCCAGGCCGGCTCCCCAGACCCTCCCTCCCTCCCCTCCCCGCCATCTGATCTCCCCTCCCCTCCCTCTTCTTCCCTCCCCTCCCCGCCGCCCCGCTTCCCGCCGATCGCACCCGGCCCCACCGCCCCACCTTCCAGCGCCCTCCGTGCGGCTCCAGCCCCCACGACCCCCGCCCCCGCGCCCCAGCCTCCGCCCGGCTCCTCCCCTCCCGACACCTGTGTCGTCCCAGCTCCGGCACGCACCCCCCATTCATTCGCCCCCTCCCCGGCCCCCCGGCCCCCCGGCTCCCCGGCCTCCTCCCCTCCCTCCCCTCCCCTCCCCCTCCCGCCCGGAGGAGCCCGAGGGGCGCGCGGGGCCCGGGAGGCCGCGGAGGGGCCGGTGCCCGGGGCTGCCCGGCGCCCTCGGTCTCCCCCTCCACCCGCGGGGCGGAAGCCGGGGCCTCCGGGGCGCCCCCCGGCCGGGCATTTACCTTGTGGCCGGGGACGCTGGGCGGGCGGCTCCCACATTGGCAAACCCTCCAAAGGACTGACCCCGCTCGGCCGCCGCCGCCGCCGCCGGCTCCCAGCCCGCGGGCTCCCCGCCCCCGCCTCCGCCCGCCTCCCCGGCGCTCCGCCCGCCCGCCCGCCGCCGCGCCCTCCCCGGCCCGCGCCGCGCGCCCCCGCCCGCGCGCTCCCGTCGGCCGCCGCCGCCCGCCTCCGCCCGCCGCCCGGCGCGGCCATTGTTCGGGCGCCGCTCCCGCCCCCTGGCGGCCGGCCCGGCCCCGCGGCGGCGGCGGCGGCGGCCTCCCGGGTGCGGCGGTGCGGGCGCCCGCAGGCCGGGACCGTCCCCGGGGCCGTGGGCGGGAGGGCGCGCGAGAGCTGGGAGCGCACCGCGTCCGCAGCCTCCGGGTCCCCGGCTCGCCGCCCCCACCCACCCCGCCCCGAGCCCACGCGGCACAGGGTGGGCCTAGGCCAGCCGCCTCCCCGGCCCGGGGGGACCCCCGGCTCCCTCTGGGCGGCGGGCGGCGCCCCGATCCCCCGCGCGTACCTGCCCCGGGCTCGCCGGCCGCCGCGCTCCGCGCCGCCGGGGGCGCGCGCCCATCCCGCGTGCGCTCCGGCCGCCGCTGCGCGCCGCTGTGGGTGCGCGGCTAGCGGATCCGGCACCTTCCAGGCTGGGGGGACGGAGGGGGGGGGGGATGGGGGGAGAGGGGGGTTGGAGGGGGTAGTGCCACTGTCTTGTCCAGAAAACACCAATGATGAGTAATCACCTGTTCTCCAAGATCAGCAACGTGGCCACACATCCTCCTCGGCCAAAAAAAAAAAAAACACCAAAAAACCGTACTTGGTCACATGAGAAAGAAGTCCTTGGGACCGAAAATGAGGACCATTTTACCACAGTGCCCTAGATCCTAGATTGTGGAGGCAAGAGTGCCAGGAAACTCAAATTACTTTATGGTTCGCCCTGGTTTTGATGTGGGTTTCTGGTGCCCAGATAACCCCAGTTCAGCCACAAAAAAAGAAAAAAAAAGAAAAGAAAAAAATTTTCACACTTCGTTTAGTAAATGGCACCGAGAATAATCTGACAGTAAAGTCCAAAAATATAAATACCCCATGTTTCCCAAACGTGTCCATTGGCATTTTTATTCCCAGCATTCCTTCCCAATACCAGTTCCCCTGAGGTGCCTACCAGGCCTGTGATTTCAGCCATCCCCGAAAACCAATGGGTGTCTTATCTACAACTGGAGGCCCAGCGGCCTGTGGTTCAAAGCAAGAGCACAGAAGCAGATAACCAGGCCTGTTATTCACCCAGTGAGTCAGTTATTCTTTTGTTCCACAGATTACATATAACATGTGTGTAAATGTGACACTACATACAAAGCCCTCTATGCAGGGCCTGGCACGTGGCGGGTCTGTGCTGAGCCAGGAGCTACCAAAAGGTCTCTTCCTGGAACTTTCCCATGCTCCTTCTCCTCCGCACCTCTGCCATCCCTCACTTACCATGTGGCAATGTGGCATCCTCCCCGTATCTGCACCAGTCCTTCATCAATGACCCTGGGCTGGGGGGGGGGGGGGGGGGCGGGAGTTGCTGGAACCCCTTGTATCCTGCAGCCGAGATACTCAGTCTCAACGTGCTTTCTTCTTTTACTTCTCTAATTGTAGGCCTTCCATTCAGCCACCTTTCAGGCGGTTCTGAATGATGGTTGTTCTGAATTTTAGTTGTAATTTTGATGTGGTTGCGGGAGGCAGGGAGTCCCACCGCGTACCTACACTGCCGTCTTGGTTCTCAAGAACATTGTTTTTAAGCTTGAATCAGCACCTTCAGTTGCTCAAGCTATATAGCCTCAGCGCATGGGATCACCTGAGTGGCATGGCAATCTGCACAGAAATCGAGGATTTCGAGATTTTACTTTAAAGCCAAGTATTTGCATAGGAATTGAAAATAATGGACAAATAAAGAGGAGTGGTCCTATTGGCAGCTGATGAAAACAGAGCAACTAATTTATCCATGAATCATATATATATATAATGAGAGGGAATCACTGATAAGCCAGCTCCTGTACATCCACACTGGGGATGGAGGATAGAGCCTGCAACCTGAGCATGTGCCCTGACCTGGAATCCAATAGTGACCTTCCAGTTCATAGGTCAACAGGTCAACGCTCAATCACTGAGCCAAGCCACCTGGACTCCATGCATCTTTAATAGCAGTCAAATATTCAACCATCAGGAAAAAAAAAATAGTGTTTTCAACTTTGTGATCAGTTTAAGCAATTTGACTGGGACAGATTCCAGAGTCACAAACCATAATTTCTCCTTTAGCTATACCCTCTGTCTTATTACATCCCTTCCTTGGTATCTATTTTCCTGTAAAATTCATTTAGCCCCCAGTCCCCACCATATAATTTGCTCTCCTTTATATGCTTATATTTGAACATATATTTATCACTACACCATATTTGTTTCTTCTAATATGCCTTCAGCTCTTTGAAGGCAAGAACAATGACTTCCTCATGTTTGCTTCTGTGGCATCGAGCACAGTGTCTATATGCTCATTAACAAATGCTGGTTGAATAAATGGATTAGTGAATTTGACAAATATTTATTGAGTACAGCTGGGAAGGAAAATTTTTTCCTCCACCCTTCTTTTAGCTGGTCTAATAGTTAAAATGACATGGGACAGATTAAGAGGAGAAAAAGCAATTTAATTATTAAGGGAGCCCCTTGAAAACATGAGACCCAAGGCAAGGCTGGTCCTTGAGGTTGACACGCCATCCTGAGTTAAGGAATGGGATCAGGGCCTGGAGCTTCAAAGGGGAGAGAGTATTTCCCAGGACAGTAAGAAGCACAGACGTTCGTTTGGCATTTCCACGTTTGCCCTGCCATACAGGTAAGGCGTTCAGATCAGAGTTATCTCTGGGAATAGCTGTCTCTGGAACAGGCCCTCCATCTAAGTGCTTTCAGTAGTTAAGGCAGATTGGAGAGTCTTTCCTGAGTCTGCTGAGTCTTGATTGCCTTCAGTTCAAAATAATCCACAAGCCAAAGCGGCAAATTTGGGAGTCATGTATCTGCCAAGGGCTGTTTGTGGCCCCGGAGTATACAGCAATGGAAAAAAAAAATCTGCAAAGTCTTCGCCCTCCTGGACCTTACAGAGGAATGCATTAATGAATGAGTGAGCGAGTGAAATAAACACTCCCAAATCCTTTATCTATTGGAGTACTATTCTGGATATGCCTGATCAATTTGTATATTCACTGATGAATTGATTGCTTGGAATTAAATAATGTTCCCTAATAATGATGTTTTTTTCCAAAACATCAGCTGTCTACACACTGTACTAAAAAAACAACAGAAATAAATTACATTACAAATATCATCATTGAGAGTAAGGAAACAAAATTTTATTTAATGAACTGTACAATGATTCTTTTACATTTTATGAAACATGATGTTCAACATATTTTTTTAAATTTTTATTGATTTAATTTTTAATTTGAGAGAGAGAGAGGAAGGGAGAGGGAGAGAGGGAGAGAAACATTGATGGGCTGACTTCTGCATGCCCCTGCCAGGGATCTGGCTGAACCCTGGCAGGTGTCCTGACCAGGAATCGAACCAGCAACCTTTCAGTGCTTGGACAGCAACCAACCAACTGAGCCACACTGGCCAGGCTCAACAGATATTTTTCAGTAAAATAAAATTTAAAAAAATAGGAAACCAATTATATTTCTATTGACTTTTCCTTCCTAGCTATCATCTGCTCTCTAAACATCTCAACTTGTGGGAAGTGAGAGGAGGGGCTACATCTACACTTTCCACCATGGCAGAAATTTGATTCAACTGTATTTCAACTATCTTTATTCGAATTTATTGGCTAAGTCTCCGCTTCAAAATTACTTAATTAAAAGACAAGATAAGATAGCTTTACAATCTGCTTTTTCATCTCAGTCTGTTTTGTCATCTACAAGTTGGGTTGTTTTACCGAATGTGTACTGTAGGGTTCAGGAAGAGACACCCTAGGCGTGCCTCGGTGTTATGCAGATTATTTTGAACTAAAGGCAATAGAGACCCAGAAACTCGCCTGTCATAAGACATCACCAGAAATAACTTTGTGCGCACTATCTACATGGCAGGGCAAACTACTATCCATTGAACATCTCTTACCCTACTCCAATGACCCTTTCAGGCCCTGAGGCACCTGACCTCATCCCTCGCTCAGAATGCCACATAGCCGTGGCCAGTGTGGCTCAGTGGTAGATCCTAGGCCAGAGCACCCAAAGGTCTCGGGTTCGATTCCCAGTTAGGGCACATGCCCTGATTGTGGGCTCGATCCCCAGCAGGGGGTGTGCAGGAGGCAGCTGGTCAATGATTCCCGCCATTGATGTTTCTATCTCTCTCTCCCTCTCCTTTTCTCTCTGAAATCAATGCCATATATCCTCGGGTGAGGATTTTTAAAAATGCCAGCGGTACCTCATTTTAACTTTCTGTCCCTGAACCTCTCATGTAGGTGAGGCCTCTCACTCACCCATATACTAATATGTGGGGTTCCCATGCATACATATATAATAAATTTGGTTCCTTTTTCGTATTAATCTGTCTTATATAGATGTAATTACTAGGCCAGCAGAAAGAACACTGTGGGGGCCTACAATACTAGCTTACACTGCTTTTACCTATAATACAAAATGCTCACAAAAAGCATTCTTCTCTTCAGTGGCCTTTCTTCCAGCCTACCCTGTTTCCCCAAAAATAAGACAGTGTCTTATATTAATTTTTTTCTCCCAAAGTTGCACTAGGTCTTATTTTCAGGGGATGTCTTATCTTTCCATGCGCTAGGTCTTATTTTCGGAGGATGTCTTATTTTCGGGGAAACATGGCAGATTCTTCTTCTCTTTTGAATGCAGTGCCCATTTTATTATTATCATCATCATCACCATCATTATTATTATTGTTATAATGATTGACACAATTTTAACATAATTTATTTTCATTTTGTTCATGCCTAATCTGAGTTCTTTCCAGATCTCTGATTACCTTAGCTTTACCCAGTAGAGTTTTGGGGGAAAAGGAACTCAGGGGATTGGGGGTCTTTTCATGCATTTCATTCGTTTT